CAAGGTGGTTGCTCTATATATATGTGTATATATACAGAAAATATATATGTATGTTTCTGTTTATATACATATACGCATATAAATATATACATATACATATATACATAAACAGAGAAAGTCTCTGCGCAATTTCACCTCAAAAACGTAAGCGTGACAAGGTATACCCCCCCCCCGCCCCCCCGCACCTCCCGTTACATGTAGAGTAGGGCCTCTTCCCAACCCTAAACCCTAAGCCCTAAGCCCTAAATCCTAAACCCTAAACTCTTGTATGCAGGTGAACCACCCAAAACGCACCCCACGGGAAGCCAGAGTCCAGAACAGAATGCGCCTTAGCCCGGAAGCCTATAAGACTTGACACCGTAAACCCCGACGTCCGGTGTCATGTCTCCAAATTCGGGCCTATGGTTGGAGAGTGTGGGGTTCAGGGCTTCTTGGGGAGACCCGAGATCCTTGCTATGGGCCGCATTATGACAGGAAGCTATGGTTTAGGGTTTAGGGTTCAGAGTGTAGGGTTCAGGGCTTCTTAGGACGAGGAAGCCCCTCCCGCGAGGCCATGCAGGACTCGTCTGCACCTGTCCGGGCGGTGTGCGTGGCCGGCCTGCTCGCGCTGCGCAGGGTGCCCCAGGTATCTGGGACCCAGAGTGGGCCCTTAGTCTCGCCCTTTTTTAAATATAAATAAATAATAAATATAAAAAAATATAACAATATATATATATATATGTTTTTGGTTTTTTATTAACTTTTTTTTAAATATAAGGGTTTAGGTTCACTTTATTCGCCCCTTTAGAACCAAAAAGGGGCGCACCTTTCATTCTAAGGTGACTCTTGGGGTCTAGGTTTCATGGATCCTGAACATGGCCCCTTCCCCTCTTTTAACGCGTTCTGAAGTGCGGGCCCTTGGGTTGTGTAGGGGATAAGACTTGAGAGCGTGCTGAGATGTGAACCATCCCAGGGCCCTTTAGAACATCCTCCTAAGCCCTTACAAAAATCCCCCACGGCCTTGCTTGGCAAGCCACCCGAGCCCCTCCCTAAACCCCGAACCCTCAACCCTCAGCCTTAAACCCCAAACCCTAAACCCTAAACCTTAAACCTTAAACCTTAAACCTTAAACCTTAAACCCTAAACCCTAAAGAAATGCAATCACCCTAAACCCTAAACCCTAAACCCTAAACCCTAAACCCTAAACCCTAAACCCTAAACCCTAAACCCTAAACC